TTTAATGATAAACGATTGGTGAATATGTTGATTAGTCAGCATCGTGATGTTCTTAATTTCTGCTAACGTCTTCGGATAACCTTTGTGCCACGGTATTGCATTTATTTGGGACATTGACGGTACTCCCTCTTTCTTAGTATAATATACCTGTACGTCAGGAGGTGTAAATTTTTTTGTTGGAAAAGTCTTGCACCAAAGTAGCTACTTAGGTAGCAACTTTGGGTTGAATGTGAAGGCTTGACCAGTCACCTAAGACTTGACACGTGTCTCATTTATAGTAACTGAATACTTCGATGATTATAGTGTCATGGTAGTTTGAAAAAAAAATTGCATTCCAAACATTCAAATATATATTATATTGAGAAAGAAGACAGTACGGTCAATTTTCATATTTATTTGGACAGTAGGGATCAATCCCGCGGTCTAATCATTTGAAGGAGAGCCATTCAATATTTTAATATTTTTATCAACGACAAACAAGAATGCTTAAACGCAAATAAAGACTAAAATTTATTTGAAGTTGCTTAGGAGAACCTTCTTCTTACTTGCATGAGGAGACCAAAACCGAATTTTTTGTTAAGAAAATAATTTTACATGTAATTTTATAAAAAATAAAATAATAATTTGACTTTAAAATTATGTGTTCTTTCTTTTAATTTACTAAAGAAAAGTGTCCTTTCTCTTTTGCACTTGTAAAAATTTACACATGCATTTGTCATATACTATCACGCAAGTCATTTAATTACAATTTAATACAGTACAACTTTTTTGAAAGGTCCAAATTATCCACCTGATGAAATAATTTGTCGGTGTATCTTTTTCAAATTTAATAGTTGTTGAGCTGGGTTAGGGTTGGCTCAAAAAATAAATGAGCTAGAAATTTCAACCCAACCCGACTCGAGTCAAGTTAAGGTTGGATTGCGGATTGGCTCGAAAAAAATGAAAAAATAAAATAAAATTCATTGATGCTATAACTTCTAATTTTTTCCCCTAAATTATTAATTCATTCAATACAAAGACATTATACATATAAACCATAGAAAATTCCTTTTGCATTTGGACTTGGACTTATTGGCAGTTGGCACCACATTCACACGTCACACATACTATAAAAAAGTTCTTTAATGCACGATTTTGGACTTATTGGCAGTTGCATGGTATATTTGTTTGGGTCTTTTTAATTGGGATTTTAGGTTCTAGCTTTCCACTTTACCTTCATTAATTTTTATACTTTTATATTAAAAAAAAAACCATAACCCGAGAGCCAACCCGTTTGACCGTGGGTTGGCTCGATTTTTTTCGAGCTAAAACGAGTCGGGCTGACTCGAGTTACTAACTCATTTTCCCTAACCCAACCCAGCTCATTTTAGTCGAGTTACGAGCCAACCCGATGGTTTGGCTCATTTTTGCCAAGCCTAGCGGGGAGCTTATGGGCGGAAGAGACAGCTATTTATGGGAAATTTTGTCAATACGGGGAGTACCGAATTTGGTACTCTCTTTTATTAAAAAGGGAATTTTTTTTTTTCATTTTAACCCTTATTATTTTTTATTTTTTTTATATTTTTTATATTTCCCTTTTAAGTCCTGAAAACTTTCCCCTTATGGTAAGAATGTAGGTACAATTGTTGTCCCAAAAGTTTTCTCCTATTTATGAACTAAGTGAATAACAACATTAAATAAGTTTAAATTCAAAAAAGTCTAAAGATTTATTGAAGTTACTTAGGCGAACGTTCTTCTTACTTGTTACAGAGTGTTTGACAGAGTAGAAATTTTTTTTTATTAAGGAAATATATTTACTAGCAAAATGAGTTTGGTAAAAAAGTTAAAAAACAGTTATTTGATAGACCAAAATATTACTGAAAAAATTAGGTTAAATTTTTTGAGTCTATATTTGGTTGAAGATAAAATATTGATAAGAAAATGGGATGAAAGGATGAAATTACCAAACTAACCCTTGACTAAATACAAAGAAGACTCTCTTTCTCTCCAACTTTCTTTTGGCACATTTTTTGAGAAGGGATATTTGTGTCAATTACTTTTTTTCAAATTTTTGGTTTGATTGGTAATGGTATTCTGAAATCGCAAAATCTTTCAATTTTACACACAAACTGATATTGTTATGCAAATAATCCGAATAATGGACAAATTTTTTAAAACCTCCTACCAAACATGATCAACTAGAAAATCCATTTCAATTTTCTCAGCCATCTTATAAAAAATCTCCTACCAAAACCCCCCTTAATCACTCGTGTCCATGTGTACTTACATATGAGATTTTCCTAGAAATAGGGTCGGCGCTGCGTGTATTGAGGAGACCAAAACCGAATTTTTTGTTAAGAAAATAATTGTACATGTAATTCTATATAAAAAAAAATTAATTCGACTTTAAAATTAGGTGTTCTTACTATTAATTTACTAAAGAAAAGTGTCCTTTTTCTTTTGCACTTGTATAAATGTACAGTCATGCATTTCTCATATACTCTCACGCAAGCCATTTAATTATAATTTAATCGGGTACAACTTTTTTGAAAGGTCCAAATTATGCTTCTAATGAAATAATTTGTTGGTGTGTCTTTTTCAAATTTTGTAGTTGTTGGGCTGCGGACACTAGGAGCTCATGACAGAGAGAGATTGCTATCCATGTGTTAAGTGAACAACGATATTAAATAAGGGGTAAGTTATATTTATAAACTTTTTTATTTACAAACTATATTATCTTCTCTCAAGAGAACACTGGTTACACTATATTCTCCCGGGAGAAGATAGTGTAATTTGTAAAAAATTTCAAAAAAAATTTGTAAGCGGATCCTTCCCTGTTAAATAAATTTAGAAACCATAACTAAACTCAAAACCTTATGATATTAGGTATATAGGCTTTTCCACTTATACAGTACCCACTCAATCCAATATTAACCAATGAGACACTTCAGTCACTCATATATCAATTCCTCAACAATAGTCCGACTCTTGCATGCAAGCTTGCTCTTGAAGAAGGTGGGGTCCTAATTGTTGAAATTCTAGTAGATGAACTATTCAAACTAAACAAATTATGGAACCCCCAACAGGTTGCAGGTTTGATAAGTCCAAATAAAATTACGCACCCAAAACGGAACCCACATGTGGGTGTATATTTTTTCAAATTAGCATTAATAGCTACACTTAATATTTTAATCTCAAACTTAAGATTCTAAACCTAGTCATTTTTCTAAGATTTTTTATATTTTTATTTTATTTTTTGCAGAACTTTTCTGGTATGCGCTTTTACATAGTCAGTATCAGTTCTGACGCCAGTTCTCTTTATTTTGACTCCAAACTTTTTATATTAGTCCTATATATTATCCTAGTAATATATACACTCTTTTCATAATTTTCCGGGATACTTCATCGGTACGTATTTATACCGAGAGGAAGAACCGGTATCTGCACTTTTCGTCAGAAAAACGACTTTCAACATTATTAATCACTTACCATAATTATTTAAGCATTCTCATATTATTAGGGTCAATTATGGAATTATCTCATTAATCTCATAATTAATTAATTAAATTCTTAATTTAACAGTGCGGGTTCTTACGCCTCTAAAAAGAGGCTAGGTTGCATTTTGATGTCTTATGAGGAGAATTACCCAACTCTGCCTGCCCATTAGACTGCGGTTGCTTGTGCAATTTCGCAATCAAAAATATATATCAATCACACAAGTACGCAAGTGCACGTGTTACAAGTAATAAAGTGGATGTGTGAGTCCAAGTATCGTTCCAAGTATCACAAGTATTATATGTTTGATTGATCTTTTGTTCGACAATGATATGTAATTTATTATTTTATATTTAAATATTTGGAATTAATATTATTTTTTTACAGGTATTTGAGTATATTTAGAGTATTTTTAATACAAATTGTATATTTACATATACTTACCGGGTCATATGGTTGAACCAGCGTTCCATTGGTTGAACCAGTGACCCAGTACTTCGACCGTGATAATAATCAGGCTGAATTTAATAATAATGCATAGGGGTGTTAACTGCTTGGAGCATTAGTTTGTTGCTTGGGGGATTTGTGTGGTATTTATCCTAACCCAAGTAGGACAACTAATCGCATAGGGGATAAGTAACTAAATAATCCATAAAAATCACAAATAGCACATGATCACACTTCTCTATATATATTGAAAAATATTACTGTAACATTCCAAGGGCTGGTAAAGGTAGAGAATGATCGTCGGTGTAAAAGAGACACGGACAATGAGCAGCTCATGCTAAATCTTTTAGTTGAGGGGTACATGAATGAATTAAATCAATACCTGAAAGAGAGAGATTCCAAAGATTGTGTTGGTATGGGATGGTATAGTTGGGGATATCTTATAAGAATTAATTGATACTACCCATACTAATAAGACGCATCTACTTTTCGATAGCTCGGAACGAAAGAACTTCATAGTTAAGCTTGCTTGACTTGGAACAATTATGAGATGAGTGATCTCTTAGGAAGTTTTGCCAAGAAATGTGTGAGTGAGGACAAAGCACGCTAAAAAGTCGAGTGTTAGTTTGTAGAGACAATCATTGATCTTTGCAAGTTGTCGGGAATTAAAATTACCATTCCTCCAAAGGAAATTGAAAGTAATCTCATTATTTCGAATTATACCATTCAAAATCATTGAATAAGAGGGATTTCTAGAATGCCCTTTGGTTAATTGAAAAATGAAAGGAAAGGTGAGTCTAATTAATTTAGTAAACATTGAACTTAACTATTACAATGTATTATTAATCAACCCTGATAAAAACGACAAAAAAAGAGAGAGAATATCTTCATGAGGTTAGGTGAAAAGAACTTCTTTTGGAAAGAAAATATGTTTATTCCCTACTAAATGAAGAACAAATTGATACAGCTGGAACTACGGGAAATAAAAAGTTTTATATCAATATGCTTTTAAGTGAAGACCCTGCTATATTGCACTAGAAACAAATTATTAAAGAAATTTTGGCTTCAAATAGCTATTTTTAAATGGATATGCTATATGGAACTCCCTTTCCAGTGACTCCAGGCCCTGAAAATGGTTTCATTAGTTCATAAGGCACTACCCCAGCTCCATGTCTATTTTTCAAATTACTGTTTGCATTCCTTGAGTCTATTATACCTTCAATCTCCTTCAGTCTCCTACTAAACCTTTCGAAAGCTGCCTTTATAGTTTGATTCTCAGCCCATGATGGTTCAATGTGCTGCCCAATGTACTCTTCATCTGGTGAATGAGTTGATAATAAGTTCAAAATTACCATCACTAAAGTTGCCTGGATTTGTGATGGGAAACATTCCAAAAGGGTTTGCTCAGGTTTGTTCAGAAAATTTTCCCATTCTTCCTTAGAAGGGTCTTCTGTGGGAATTTTGTTTCTAGCAATTGAGGGTCGATTAGGGAAATAGCCTCCGTAAGTATATTGCGCAAAGTTCGTAGCTGCATGATGAGCAGATGCTACCCAGGCTATAGTGGTGATGATATCAATAAGGTCTTTTGGTGTTTTTAGATTTGGCCACCATGGTTCTTCAGATTTGTCTCCATGACCCACTGTTCGAATATCTGTCCACCATGCTTGGAGCTCTTGGTCAGACTCTATGATGTGTGGGCTTGGATAGTAATGATTGACATACTCTGTGACCCACTGATTGATGGCATCCCATATAAGGAGACCATCATTGGCAAAAGGGTAGTCTTCAATTGATAGCTTTAGGCCATGTGGTGCATTAGGATCTGCCACAGCCATTCCTCTGAAAGAATAGCAATTAATACCAGCAAATGAATGCTTAATGAGGCTATGGAAAAGAAGAAAAACAAAAACAAATCCGAAAGCATCTCTGTAAATCATACCTGTGAATAAGATCATTGGGAAGTGCCTGTAAATCAAACTGCCATAGCTTATCATATGCCACGGAGCTTAATTCCATTGAGTACTTATTAGTAGAGAATGAGATTTCAATGACCCCATTTGCACTTATAAGCACTTGACGTGCCAGAGAGTTGATTTCCATAGTATATCTCAAATGTGGATTCAATAATCTATAGATTGGATGCATGATGCTAAGGTTCCTGTTTGTTGCAATAACGAAGGGTTCTGCAGCACAGTGAGTTCTTAACCTATAAAAATGGACGGTTTACAAGTACTAAGTTAGCATCACTTAAGACTAACTAAACTTGTCGTACAATCTAATTGGTGGAAACATAAGATGTTGAATATACGGAAGAGAATGAATGATAATATGATTGTACTCACCAATGGCTTACAAGTTCATGATAACCAGAATCATGGGAGAGAACATGAGCTTTAGCAAGCCTCCAAAGCCAGAGATTGGTTGAATGAGAAGCAGGGGTGAAGACTTGCTTCCACTGGGGTTTGCCATCCATAGCTGGTCTAGTGAGCTCAATAGCTATTGGCTTCAATATGCCTTGTGTGGTTAGGAAGAATAGTGTCCGTGATCCATATAGTGTGGTTCCCTTAATCTCTCTCACTTTGCTTACATATGGTAGGAACAAATCATGGTAGTCTAACATGAACAACTTCTTCTCTTTAATGGCCTGCATGTATTCAAATTAAGCAATTTTTAAGCAAAATTCGTTCTAAATTTGGTATTGTCATTGATGCTTTGGTACCTCCTCAACTGTGTCGTAACCAATTATCTGCGGCTGGATGACTTCTCTGATGAAAGCTGATTCTGGTGGACCATATATTTGGGGTTCTAGATTACTTCTCAAAGGCCATTCCTACATAATGAATATACCAAGAAGAAAACATTGAATGTTTCTTGAGCGTTGATAGATGACATTGTTAAAGTAGTAAACAAAATATTTGTAGCAACTCTTACCTTGACCAATTGGATGCTGTACGGGTTGACACCTGCCAAAGTCTCCCTAGCAAATTCCTCATCTGATAACCAAAAGAATTTGTCCCCTGCAATACCAAAAAAATCATAATCATTCATAAAGAATTTGCATTGTCTAGTATCTTCTAGATTTAGGGTCAACCACTTGAACTTTGGCTCACTATAGTAACCCGAGTTCCCTCTAAAGGTGACAGATACAATCTTTGATTCCCCTTCCGTCATATATATAAAACAATTCTAGAGTTTCCATATTACATCTTAAAGTTCATCATTCAAAAGATATTAGAATTTCTATAACTTAAGTCATTAGGAACTCACCCTTTTTACCCATATTCCATAGGGCGCGGTGGTCACGATAGAAAGAACAAGATATGATAGACTACACTATCATATCCTCCTTTGTCCATTGTTTAGTGAGCTAACGTGATATGATAAACTTATCTCTTTTTGGCTCATTTTATCCCTATCCGCAACATACCAAGCTATCTAAGTGAGGACTTAGGTTACAATTGGCTAGGATAAGAAAATAAATATCACGCGTATCTTACTCCAAATGTAACTCTATGCTCTTCTCTTAGGAACTTCATTAGAAATGTAAAAGTCAACACTAACCAAGGTCACTCCGCCACTAGTCGACCACCACCCACCACTATCACGAGGTAGCCACCCCCACCCACAAACACAAAACATTAACCACTAACGTTGACAATTAGTTAAGACTTATTTTTAAAAATTTATTTGGGGAAGATATATATAATTTTAGATGTTTTCGTAAGTTAATTTGAGGGTGAGCCTTGAAGCAATGGTAAGGTTGCTCCTTGTGATAAGAAGGTCATGAGTTCGATTCTGAAAATTTATGATAAATTTATCCTCGCAAGTTGGGGAACATTGCACCAGTATCTGCGTATTATTTTTGTAAGATAATTTATATATTTTAATTAATATGTTTTATTTAAAATTATGACTTCTAGAATTTTTTGAGTAACTTAAAATAAGAACGGTTGTATAAATAAGTTAAAAGAAAAAATAATTTTAAAAATATATGAAATTATGTTATAAAAGGATAATTTTGATTAAATATACATATTAAATTATTTGATTCGCCTCAAGTACCGAATATGATAAAAGTATTCTATTAGACTGCTTATCTATTGTGAATCAAATATGAAATAGGATATATGAGCTTTTCATAAGTATATTCTTTCTTATTTTTATTTCATTCTCTTATCGAATTTGTCTTTATCATATCATGTCCACCAACTGAACTCTTTAAAATCAAATGTTAGCCCCATAGTGGCTTTGGTGTTGTCGATATTTTATGTCCAAATGACTACTATAGTGTGAGAAGGGTTTTAACAGATTAAAAACAAATGTTAAGCCTTAACATAATTTCCTAATTTTAAGATTTATAGTCATTGACATTACTAATTTTAAGATTTATAGGCCCAAAAAATAATTATTTTTTCTCAACATGCAATTATTTGTTATTGGTAGTGTGCATTTAGATGAGAACTTTGTACACAATTTAGGATTCGAACCTAGAACCTAAGGGAAAAATAATAATATTACTTTATTAGTTATCAAATTATTTATATTTATATATTTATTACATATATTTATATAAATTCAAATTAACTGGTTCAATCAGCAACTCACTAATTCAGCCAATGACTTATTGACATATTACTGATTACACAACCAAGTCATTAACCGACCCAGGTCAGTGCCTTGTAGAGTTTATTTGACTCAGATAAGTTATAAAGCAAGTAATGCAATAAGCAGTTCGGGTAGTATCAAATTTAAACATAAGCACTTTTCATACAGTTATGAATGTACTTACTTTTAACCGCTTCAGGGGTATCAAAGCGCAAAAGGTTCTGGCTATCATTAGCAGCCTTGATCAACTTGGGAATGATTCTTTGGAGCAATGTTAACCCAGAGGCTTTAAGAGGTGGCAAATGAAATCCTTCTTTGTAGAGCGTGTCTATGTCTTCGAAGCTTACAAATCCAAGATTTTGGTCACTGAGAATTGCATCTAATGATTCTAAAATTGCACTAAGTCCTGAGGACACTGTGGTCGTTGTAAACTGTGTCTGCTTTATCTCAGCAAAAGTCTCGTCACGTGGAACATAAAAGCTGGAACTTCTCGTTTCAGATGATGGGTCTGTATAACAAAATAAAATAAAATAAAATAAAAAGAAAATTGTAAACTTATTTGTTCAAAACTTTAAATCTATTCCACCATAAATAATACTAAAAAAAAAGTAAAAATAGCAATTGATTAAAACTACTAATTAATAAGTTTGAAATAAAATTTTACTCTTGATCCATATTACGGGTCCTACTGGCTCTAGAAAGTTAGGGCCAATGCGACCCCCGATTCAAAATATGAATCACCATATAATAAGGTTTATCCGATGTAGAAGTCGTGTCCTACTTAAACACTATTAAAAACTGCTATCCATAAATATAGGGTTACACATTATTGGTATACACTTCTGAATCCTAGCCTCTCATTATCCATAAATATAGGGTTACACATTATTGGTATACACTTTTGAATCCTAGACTCTCATTATCAATTTGCACACCCCCACCCCCAACTCCTTTCGCTTAATTCAAGGATCTTGCACAGTGCATTAGTGATATATCACTCTCGCGGTCTTCTCCTCAATAGATATTGCCTATCACTAGATCCTACTTTAAATACGATCCCTTTCCAATAGAACAAATCTCATCTTAGTTGAAAACTGATAATTTTTTTAAGGAAAAAGAGTTATTTTGTATCTTGAAGCACAAAAAAATTATAAAAAAATTCAATGAATATAAATAATTATATCATAATTTTTCTAATATGTAGTCCTTTATTTTCAATCATTCATTTAATTTTATAGTGTTAAACAAATTGAAAACACATCGATGTTTTTTACTCTGATCTTTATCCATTAATAGATTCTACTTTGGTTTTACAAGTTGGAACTTACGATTTCCTATAAATTACCCAAATCTCTAACAACCAACCTATTTCTATTATTAGCTTAGAAGCACTACAAACTTAAATCGAACACAAACCTATTTGATATATTTTTTATGGGGAAATCAATTCATATGTCACGGGAAAATTGAACTCTTCTGCGATAGACTCATGAAAGTTTGTGTTGAGTTTATTTTTATTTTTTAAGTTTCTGAAGTGGTAGGTCCCGTTTGAAATTTGAGTTTGCAAAAAAATGATATTTTCTCCAATAATAGAAGAAAAGCAACACCCATTTTTTATATTAAATATTATCATATATAATATAACATTGGTTGTAGTTCAGTGTGTACACTAGCAGTATACCAATTTGTAGATGTTTCTTTTTTTTTGGAAAAACTACTACGTCTACAAAGTTATACTGCTGAGAGTGTACATGCTGAACTACAATCAATGTTATTATATATGATAAATTAAATTTACATATTATGGACAACTAAAAATAGTGGGAAAAGTATCATTTTAAAATTTTTGGAAAAAAGAATTACTCAGTTAAAGTTGATTTGATAAAAATTTTCAAATTAATGTTGTCAAACATGTCACTAATACTGACGGGACTCATGCCACGTCAACGCCACGTAGGCAGTCCAATTATCGTAAAACAACTAAAAATAGTCATATGAACCAATGACCTGTTTCAGAGTGCTTTCGACCAGTACGACACCGTCTTGGATATGGATGATGTTTGGTGCCACCAAGAACAGGTCTTTTGAGGTCAATATTGGAATCAGGATCCCCAAGATCGTTGTACATATCATAGTCATATATTCTGTCAGAGCTCTTGCGCTCTCCTTCTCCATTCCCTCTCAGCAGGACCAGCTCTTCTTCTCTCAGCCTTCTTATTCCACTTGGTGTTTGTGATGGCAAGTACGACTGTTCCATGCATAGGTTAGTTAACCACAAGAACACTATCCAGTCAATGATTATAAAAACAAAATGAATAAACTCATACAAAATTTGTCGATGTGAAAGAGACAAACAAGTACAACGAAGGATATTATTTACTTTGGAGGTGAAGAATGTGAAGAAATCAAAAGAAAATGATTCATTGTTAAAAGAATAAAAAAATGTTTTCTCTATTATTGTAATCTTTGGTTGCAGAATTTTGCCGTTGATATTGAAATTTTTATCATTTTCCTGTACATATAAAGAAAGAAAAAGACATAGTGCATGGAAAAAAAAAAGCTATATCATTGCGAGAAACATATATATTTTTCTAAAATTAAAGATATTTAATAACTTTCTTAATCATTGTGCAAAATGTCAAATGGTTTTGAAATGAATAGGTAAATTAATTAAATTACCAAAAAAAAAAAAAAGTAACTTCAAATGGGATATTATGATTCAGACCTTATTAGTAAAGAAGACTCTCTTTATAGGACAATCATGCTTGGGCTGAATCCATGAATCACAAGTAAGGTGCACAGGACCATCAGCGAAGCCATCAAGGACTATACTCTTTAGAAACACCTCCTCGTGGTGCTCATTCTCAACTAAAACAGCACCCACACTCTCGAAGTCTGCTGGTATCTCAAATGTGGTCTCATACAGCTCCTCATTCTCTTTGCTCTGTGTCTTATGTACATTTCCTTTTATTGTATTTCTCTCTGACTTTGTTTCTTTCATAGGAAACAAAGGTACGGGGAAAAAGAACACAAGAATAAAATAAAATAAAAGTGGAAATTTTAAGATTTTTACCAAGAGATATATATTAAAAAAAACTTGTAGAATTATTCAATGATTACTGATTTAGTTTTAATACAAATGTGAGCATAAAAGTTTTTATCCCTAGCACTCTATCATATATTTGCAATTTAGTCCTTCAAACCCTTCCCAAAATTGATACTAAGGAAGATCGAATACATGTTCTCACACTCACCTGCTCAGCTCCTATGCACTAATTGAGCTACCATTTCTTTGCGGTGGTATTTTCTAATTATGGTAACTAGTTGTCATTTATTTGTTGTTAATTACATAACATATGTTTAAAATTATATTATAACTAACACCCAAAGAAGTGATTGACATTTCACTTTACTTAAACAAGGTTCGAATCAAAGCAAATTTCTACTGATAGACAAGGTTTATTTTATTGGTATACCCTGTTAGAGCTCAAAAAAGCCTTGTGATGAAGTGATATGTCAAAAACTTCCCTAAAAATGTGAAAATGATGTTAAAAAAAAATCAAAATATAATTACGATTGAGGTAAAACATTATAAAAATTCATAGTTGAAGAAATCATGCGATATATTAGAACAAATTTATAAATATTGACTTATATATTTATATTTTAACCTTTAAATCTTAAATTGTTTTAAAAAAGTTATTATCAAAGAGAATTAATTTTACAAAATATAGAAGTATATACTTTACTATATATATTAATTTTTAATAGAGAAACGTAAACACAAACACACACACATATATATTATTAAAGGAAATATAATTTTTCATATTGTATGAGATAATTTTGTCTTACGCACACAAAAAAGTGGGTGTAATTCACTTGTTTTCTTTCTTTCTTTTCTCCTTAGTGAATCTCATCCATTTTTTTTATATGTACACGAGATAAAATTATCTCATATAATATGATAAACTATATTCCTATTATTAAAACACATTTTAAGCACTATTTTTTTATTTTTTTTATAAATTTAATTGTATTTTGATATTACAATTTTAAGTTTTGAAAAAAAAATAGTTGGATAATATTAATTTAATTTTATATCAATTAAATTCTACTCAAAACCAAATCTTCGGCATGAACACAATTCAATCTTAACAATTTAGTGCATATTTATATCAAGTTATTTTAGGCCAATAATCGTTTTAATTATAAATTACCTTTAGTAAATTTCTAGTGCTATGATGGCCCAATTGGGGAACAAGGGTGAGGGATTCACAGTAACATGACAAGGGATCATGAGAACAACGAAGCAAAGAAATCAAACTTACTTGGATCAAGCTCGTCGCTAACAAGCTCCAAAGCAAGTGTTTTTCCAACCAATTCTTTGATCCCATCAACACCTCTAGTAACAAGACTCGTTAGGAGTCCCTCACTACTTTGCTTCACCGTCACAAAGGCCTTAACTTTCTTACTTTTGGTGTTGGTGTCGTCACTGCTTCCTGCCATCACAGCTTTCATGCACCGAGACACACTGCTTATGTTAACCTTTTTCTGTCCCTGAGTATTTGGGATAGAGAGTTTACACTGGTTCAAGAACAAACCAATGCTGTGGCAATCATGAGTATCGTTCCTATGTATATATAAGGGGAAAGATGCGCTTTTGATGATAAACGATTGGTGAATATGTGGATTAGTCAGCATCGTGATGTTCTTAATTTCTGCTAATGTCTTCGGATATCCTTTGTGCCACTGTATAATATTTATGTTACCGTATGGGTCTCTTTATAGTCTATATTGGAAAATGATCAATCCCGCGGTCTAATCATTTGAACGAGAGCCATTCAACATTTTAATACTTTTATCAACGACAAACAATAATGCTTAAACGCAAAGAAAGATAAAAGTCTATAATTTTTTTTTTTTAAGATACCAAGCATTTCATAACGGTATTTTAAGTTGTTCATGTTTTGTACAAGTTTTTAAAATATTCACCCAATAAACTGATTTGTCCATTATTTTTCCTTTCTTTGAAAATTGTGATAAAAAACACTGTGTAAGAATACCACTTCGAAAGTGGTATTAGATAACGAAAATGACCCTTTTTTTAACCCTATATTATGTACTGTGCAATATTATTTAGTCAAGGGTTATTTTCGTAATTTCTCCTTTTTTTCTAATTTTTTCTTTAACCAAACATAAACTCAGACAACTTAAATCAATTTTTCTAATATTTCGGTCTATCAAATAATTTTCTTTTAACTTTTTTAGAAAACTTATTTTCCCGTTATATTTCTAGTAATTATAATTTTTTGGTAAAAAAATATTTTATCCTCTACGAAACGTATATTTGAAGTTACTTCGGAGAACGTTCTTCTTACTTGTCAAGGTTATGTGTACTTACATATGAGATTTTCCCAGAAATAAGACCGTCACTGCGTGTTGTACGAGGAGACCAAAACCGAATTTTTTGTTAAGAAAATAATTTTACATGTACTTTTATAAAAATAAAAAAAATAATTTGACTTTAAAATTATGTGTTCTTTATCTTAATTTACTAAAGAAAGTGTCCTTTCTCTTTTGCACTTGTATAAATTTACACTCATGCATTTCTCGTATAAAATCACGTAAGCCATTTAATTACAATTTAATCCAGTACAACTTTTTTGAAAGGTCACCTAATGAAATAATTTATCGGTGTATCTTTTTCAAATTTTGTAATTGTTGGGCGGGTCCACATGAGGAGAAATATCTATGGTACTACTGTTATACCATTCACTTAGTACATCTATTCAATAAAAAATAAAGGATGACTGTTATGCTTGTATGGAAAGGAAAGAAAAATATTTTTTTCTCCAAATGTCACTTGTTAAATGACAAATGTACTTACTACATATGTAAAAAAATAATTTTCACAAAAGAAGCTTATGGTTGAAAGAGACAATTATTTATGAGAAATTTTGTTAATACTATAAGATTACCGAACTTGATACTCTCTTTTCGATTTATGAGCTAAGTGAATAATGATATTAAATAAATTTAAATTCAAAAAAATCTAAAGATTTACTTGAAGTTACTTAAGAAGAACGTTCTTCTTACTGAATGACTCGTGTCTATATGTACTTACATTTGAGATTTTCCCAGAAATAGTACTGCCGGCGCTGCGTGTAGCATGAGGAGACCAAAACCGAATTTTTTGTTAAGAAAATAACTGTACATGTAATTCTATAAAAAAAAAAAATTAATTTGACTTTAAAAGTATGTGTTCTTTCTCTTAATTTACTAAAGAAAAGTGTCCTTTTTCTTTTGCAGTTGTATAAATTTACACTCATGCATTTCTTATATACTATCACGCAAGCCATTTAATTACAATTTAATCCAGTACAACTTTTTTGAAAGGTCAAAATTATGCTTCTAATGAAATAATTTGTTGGTGTATCTTTTTCAAATTTTGTAGTTGTTGGGCTGCTGACACGAATAGTTCGTGACGGAAAGAGATTGCTATTATGTGCTAAGTGAATAACGATATTAAATAAATGAAAAAAATTTATCAATGTCTTTGTGGTTTATGTCAAAATCAATTATGTTTTTGTGGTTTTTTTTATCACATATGTCCCTGTGGTTTGCTAAAGGTATGTTTTTTATTGCATATCTCCCTGTGATTTTTTATTTTTTACAAAGCACAGAGACATATGTGATAAAAAAAAATCACATGAGCATAGATAATTCTGAAACAAATCACATGGGCATTGATGAATTTTTCCCTAAATAAATTTAGATACCATAACTAAATTCAAAATCTTATGATATTAGGTATATAGGTTTTTCCACTTATACAATACTCAATCCATTAACGAATGAGACACTTCAGTCACTTACAAATCAATTCCTCAACAATAGTCCGACTCTTGCATGCAAGCTGGCTCTTGAAGAAGGTGGGGTCCTAATTGTTGAAATTCTAGTAGATGAACTATTCAAACTAAACAAATTTTGGAACCCCCAACAGCTTGCAGGTTTGATAAGTTCAAATAAAATTACCACCCACACATGTGGGTGTATCTTTTTTCAAATTTTCTATAGTCAATTCTATTATGCACCGACACTAATCGGAACACGGGACACGACACGATACGACACGTCGACACGTTAATTTTAAAAAATATCATATTTCGACACGTTAGGATACGTTTTAATATTAAATAATATTTTTAAGACATATAATCTAATTTATATTTAATATATATAACAGTCCATAATAAGTCATATAAACAATCAAATATTCAAATTTTATAACATAAATATAAACAAAAATAATTTTTCGTACCTTGTTAATTTTTCATGTCAAAGTTCACAACAGAAAAAATTAATTTATAAATTATTTTTTTATGTTTAGTTAATAAAATAAAATTGGATACAAAAACAAAATGATTTAGACCTAAAAAAAAACGTGTCGGAACGTTAATCGCGTGTCGAAAAAAGATGACTGCGTGTCGAAACGTATCGGAGAATTGACCGCGTATCAAATGTGTATGGAAACATATCGAAGCGTCTCAGTGTCCAACACACATTTTTTTCAAATTTGTGCGTGGGGTACTTTATTGGTCCCACCCCTGAAATGAATATAAGCCAGCTCTCGAGAACTATAGAGAAAGTGGGCTCCTTATCGTTGTAATTCAAATAGTTGAACTGTTCAACTAAACAAAATGGAACCGGCAATAGGTTGCAGGTAAATGGAGAAAAAATAGCATATGGAGAAGATCTATATGAATGCACTTTCCCATTGTCGGAAATGAATAATCGGATATGGTTTGTGCTCATGATCAACACACTTTCTCATAGGAGGAAATGAATAATCGGATATGGTTTGTGCTCACCAACCACTTCTTATTTGGAAAGCTAAACATTTTCAGAAGAGGAAATTATGTAGCTTAGCAAAAGATGTTGATTGGACAGAGATTTATTTTAGAAAAATGCTGTGTACTCATTCCTTAATTGCAACATGTGACTGATTATTCATATTGTCTTATTTAAAATAAAAATTATATCTAATTCAGATGCAGCTATATTAACAAAGAGTAAAATTATTTGATAAATAATACTCCTCGAAGAATAACGAAATAGTACTTAAGCGGAAAATCACATTTTAAGAGAAATTTTGCACTTTTAAGAATATTCCGTAGATTTTATTATCTGTCAAGAAAGGAGAGTACTACATGGATATTTTTCATCAATGTTATAGGTTAATACAAAATTTTCAGGAAAAAAGTGAGCTGTCCGGTGATCAAGAGAACTGGGTATATATTGATCTAGGGTGCTCTTAGTCAAAAAGGTCCTTGGGGAGCTTCCCATGCGCAATGCAACGATGGTGGGGAGGCGTGTTTAGTGGTTATGGTGGCTTTCTAAATGAGCAGAGTAACAGCTTATGAAAATAATTGTAACATCCCGAGCGCTGACGAGGACGGAGAGTGATCGCCGGTGCAAAGAGGCACGGACAAGGAGCGGCTCTTTACAGGCTTCCAGTGGGGAGTTACATGCATGAATGAATCGAATTGACACTCGAAAGAGAGGGATTCCAATGACTGTGCAGGTATTAGAGTGCACAGTTTGGGATAACTTATAAGAATTAATTGGTACTACCTATACTAACAAGATGCATCTGCTTTTCGGTAGCCCGGAACAGAAGTACTCCATAGTTATAAGCGTGCTAGACTTGGAGCAATTCTGGGATGGGTGACCTCCTGGGAAGTTTTCCCAGGAAGTGTGCGAGTGAGGAAAAAGCACACTGAAAAGTCTCGTGTTAGTGTGGGGATAATCATTGATTCTTGAAGCGGTCGGGCGTAACAATAATAGAACAGTGTGTATGTGTGTGTGTCTGTCTTTGGGAGTGAGGAGGGTATTTAAAGGATGCTTCCTTGTGAGGAAGACAGTATGGGAGGATAGGACAACCTAGCTACCATAGCCTGTCTTGTTTAAGCAAGACGTATAGCAGCCATTGTCAGTGTACAATGACTGCCTATGTGTAAGAACCTGCACCGCTAATTAAGGAAATTAATTAGATAATTATGAGATAATTTCATAATTGACTCTAATAATTATTATGAGGCTTTAATAATTGTAGTAAGTGAGTAATAATGTTGAAAGTCGTTTTTCGAACGAAAAATGCAGATACCGGTTCTGCTACTTGGTATAAATGCGTACCGATGAAGTATCCCAAAAAATTATAATAAGTGCATGAATATTCCTAGAATAATATATAGGACTTGTAAAACAAGTTTCAAGTTAAAATAATGAGAACTGGTACCAGAACTGATACTGGCTATGAAAAAGCGCGTACCGAAAAGGTGCTGTGAAAAATAAAATAAAAATATGATAAATCTTAGAAAAATGAGTAGGTTTAGAATTTCAAGTTTGAGATTAAAATGCTAAGCGTAGCTATTAATGTTAATACTGTGTGTTTAAAACTTAAGTGGCATATATAAGGCCTTGGCACGAATTTCTAGGTCAAAAATCTCTAACATTACGTGCCTCCTTGCTGAACCTTGAGCCTCCCTTGCTTCCACCCTCTTCCTTGCTTGAGAAATTACCATTTTGATCACCTTTCTCCTTAGTTTCTTCACTAAATCTCTTGGTATGAGTGTGCTTTGGACTTGTGAGTGTGAAATGAGTACTTTTTCTGAGTGTGGTGGCTGTGGGAAGTCAGTTTAGTGGCTGTGAGTGGTGGTTTGTGGGCTGAGTTTGTGAACTTTTGTGTTGATCATCATATAGAATTGTGAATTGTTGCTCACACGTGCCTTGGATTAATGTGCTGTCATATGCTATATGTATGTTGCCTATGAATGTGACAAGATGGAAAATTCTGTATGAGAAGTAATTTTTATGTGGCAGCTTGGTACGGAAAGTACATGAAATATATGCTATTATGATGATGATCTAGTCATGCATATACACCTCATAATTCATTTGTTTCTTGTTTGTGTGAAAAGCATATCATAGCATACATGCACGAATTTCATGCTGCTCATGGACTAGGATAATTATATAAATATGCATATGTTTGAGCACGCATCATATAGGCATCCCTTCGGTACCAGGGTATGGGACACTTGGCTTCCGTCCGCATAGGCCACAGTTGGAATTCACCTTTGAGGAGCCATTATGGAATATCCACTGTGTATGTTAGTACGTGCACGACAGTGCTATGAACGTACAAGGAAATGGCGTTATATACGCACTAACATGACTATTATGAATGTACATGACCATGGCGTTATATACGCAATAAGATGATGATTAACAGCTGTACGGAATTTTAATGTTCATGCGACTGTTTTGGAGTTCTGTGCCTAGTTTAATATTGTTGCATTATTGATTTTACTGCCACACTACTGGGATTTTTCTCACCCCTTCGAGGGCTCAATTTTTATAAATTGGAGGAGGACTTAGAAGCATTTGAGGAAGTGTTTGATGACATGATTACATGACAATTCTGTTAAGTTATGTAGTTGACAACCTTGTTGTTTGCTCGCTGTCTCTGTTGAGTGTATTCTGAATATTTGACCTTGATGTAGTTTCTTAAAGAATGGCATGCCATGATGTATATTCTGTTTTGAAAAGAAGTGTAGCATGATGTTTATAATTCTGGTAATTAGTTTGCGAAAAGAATTGATGTTGTACTTAAAATAATATTTTTGAACTATTTTTGCGAGAACTTTGCGAGTTGTCGTTCTGGGGCTACAGACCTCTGAATGAGGTATAATTCATATGTACGTAAAGCCCCAGTTGTGTACTTTCAGATTATATAAACTTTACAATGAAATTCAGAAATTCTGATTTATTATGATTTTTAAAAGTCAGGAGGTTTCTGGAAAAATACAATGAATTTTCAAGTACCTTGCGAGTTCTGTTTCATGGGGCTATTCACCTCCGATTCGCTTATAATTTAAATGTACACGAAGCCCCAGATGTCTAGTTTCTATATATCGAAGAATATTTTTTAAGCTGTTGATTTCGAATTTACATGATTTTTGCAAGACAGGCTGTTTTCAAGAAAAATCAGAGTTGCGCAGCGAAAGCCTTTCCAAAAATTTACTTGCAGCTTTTATTTTGTGAAGTCAGTTTTTCCTAGCAAGATTTTAATTGGTAACATAAAATTGTTTTTACTGAATAAGAATTTTACTCGTCAACGTTACGTCTCTAATCAGATTTAACAAACTCTTCCCTTGGATGCATACAAGGGAGGGTGTCACATTTATTTTTTCTGCACTTTAAGCATACCATAAAAACATTTTCTGCATACAAAAATTCTGCATATTTTTCTACATATTTAATTTTCTGCATTCTTTTCTTTTCTATTTTTTGTTTTGTGTTTCCTATTTTTCTGCACATCTTTTCAAATCTTAGTTTATGCGAGGTACTTCTAACCCGCAACTCTTGCAGTTTGATCCTGAGATAGAAAAGACAGAGAGGAAACTTAGGAAAGACGCAAAAGCAAAGAAAGCGAAAGAAACAAAAACAACATCAACTTCTACGGAAACAAAGGAAAAACCAAAAGAGGAACCTAAGGAAGAACCAATGGCAGAAAACAACAATCAAATTATTCGAAGGACATTGGGAGATTACATGACCCCAGCTAGAGCTCCACAGACAGCAAGCATTGTTAGACCCAACATAGAGGCTAACAACTTTGAACTGAAGCTGACATTACTGCAATTGATTCAAAAAGAACAGTTCGCTGGAGGAAGCACAGAGAACCCTTATTGTCATCTTGATGACTTTTTGCTTTACTGTGATACATTAAAAGTAAATGGAGTTTCTCATGATGCTATATTGCTCAGGCTATTTCCATGCTCACTGAAAGATGAAGCAAGAGATTTGTTGCAGTCTCAACCTGAAGGAAGTATAACCAGTTGGGATGACTTAGCCGCAAAATTCTTGGCCAGATTTTTCTCAGCTTCAAAGATGGCTTGGCTCAAGGCAGAGATCACAACTTTTGAACAAAAAGAAAGCGGATCTTTGTACAAGGCTTGGACACGATTCAAAGGATTACTCCGGATGTGTCCTCAACACGGAATTGAAGCATGGGAGAAGGCAAGAATCTTTTTCCAAGGGATGACAGTCAACACAAGAACATTGGTAAATGCCGCTTCAAGAGGCTCATTGAAAACAAAAACTCCAGAGGAAGCACTTGAATTGTTAGAATCATTAGCATCTCAAGAATTTGATAATGCTCCTGCTCCAGTTGCACCAAGAAGATCAGGGATCATGAAGCTTGAAGGCTATGATGCACTCTTAGCCTAGAATGAACAAATGCTGCAAATGCACAAGAAACAACAAGAAGAATTAGATGCCCTTAATAAGAAATTTAATCTTTCTCAAGTTTCTTCTGTTTCTAATGCTAACATTAAATGTGATATTTGTCAGGAGGCTCATGCAACTGAGGATTGTGAATACATCAGAAACACGGAAAAGCCACCAACGGAGGTCAATGGACTCTGGTATGATCAAAAGAACTCGAACAATCAATATGGTAATCAAGGGAGGAAGAATAATAATCAACACCCTGGGTTGAGTTACAAGTCAAACTACCAGCTGAATCCTCCTATGCCATTGCAACAACAACCCAGGGCACCTTTTCAAGTTACACCGACACGAACCCAAAGGCACAATCTAATGCAATTGTCACAAGAAGTGGGATCGTGATTCAACCTGTGGAAAAGCCACCAGTTGAAAAGAAGAAAGAAGTTGAACCTGAAGTCGAACTTGAAGCTGGACCTGAAATTGAAAAAGAAAAAGAAGAAGATGCAGTAGAAGCAGAAAAGAGCATTCCAGAAAGAAAGTTATTCAAATGGGAGCAAAAAGAAAGCTTTGGACAGACAACCAAAAGCAGCAGACCCGTCTCCTTATGCAAAAGTTCCATACCTTCAGCAGTTGAAACAAGAAGTCCAAAAATAGCAATACACCAAATTTCTGGACATCTTTAAAAAGCTGCAAGTCAACATTCCTTTCGCAGAAGCCCTGGAAAGCATGCCGAATTATGCAAAGTTCATGAAAGACCTTCTATCAAAGAAACACAAGTTGAAGGAATGCGAAACAGTGGCCTTGACAGAGGAGTGCAGTGCAATCATCCAGAAGAAACTTTCTCCCAAGCTGAAAGATCCAGGAAGCTTCAGTATTCCTATTGAAATAGGAAACATTGAAGTTGGAAAAGCATTATGTGATCTGGGAGCAAGTATCAAGCTGATGCCACTATCTATGTGCACTCTTGGAATCAAGGAGCTCAAGCCTACTACCGTTTCTCTCCAGTTAGCTGACAGATCGATCAGACGACCAGATGGGGTAATTGAGGATGTTTTAGTTAAAATTGACAAATTTATCTTCCCTGCAGATTTTATAGTTCTGAATATGGAAGAAGACATCGAGATTCCCCTATTAGTTGGAAGGCCATTCTTGGCCACTGCAAGAGCAATGATCGATGTGGAGCAAGGAAAACTGATGCTGAGGGTGAACGAAGAAACAGTCACCATTGACGTCTTCGAATCAATGAAACATCCAATAGACGGAGAAGACTGTTTTATGATAGACATAATACAAGAAGCAATTGATGATGCTATGAAAGAGGATAGTTCCCCTCTTGAGTTAGAATAAATCAATGAAGAAGTTGAAATAAATGATAAAGAACCAGTGGTGGAAGAACTTGAAAGAAAGAAAGATGACATCCCTCTTGGAGCACCCAAGATTGAGCTTAAGGAGTTACCTCCAAATTTAAAATATGCCTTCCTGGGTAATAACGATACATATCCAGTCATCATGAATGTAAAGCTAACAACCGCAGAAGAAGATAAGATTCTCAAAGTGCTGAAGAAACACAAAGCTGCCATAGGATGGTCTTTCTCCGACCTGAAAGGTATAAATCCTTCATTTTGTACTCATAAAATTCTAATGGAATATGATATTAAACCTGTGAGGCAGCCACAAAGGAGACTCAATCCAACCATGAAAGAAGTGGTTAGGAAAGAAGTGGTAAAACTATTGGATGCATGTATGATCTACCCTATATCTGATAGTGCATGGGTAAGTCCAGTACAAACGGTACCCAAGAAAGGTGGAGTCACCATGGTGAAGAATGAGAACAATGAGTTGATTTCAACAAGGATAGTCACTGGGTGGAGGATGTGCGTTGACTACAGAAGACATAATACAGCCACTCGGAAAAACCACTTCCCACTTCCTTTCTTGGACCAGATGTTGGAGAGACTTGTTGGCCATGCCTTTTACTGCTTCTTGGATGGGTACTCAAGCTACAACCAAATAGCAGTAGCTCCAGAAGATCAAGAAAAGACAGCATTCACATGCCCTTACGGAGTCTTCGCTTACCGGAGGATGCTCTTCGGCTTGTGCAATGCTCCTGCAACTTTTCAAAGGTGTATGCTTTCTATCTTTTATGATATGATTGAGAAATCTATTGAAATCTTCATGGATGACTTTTCTGTTTTTGGTCCCTCTTTTGACGTCTGTTTAGAAAATTTATCTAGTGTTTTACAAAGATGTCAAGAGAGTAATCTTGTTTTAAATTGGGAAAAATGCCACTTCATGGTAAAAGATGGCATAGTTTTAGGACATAAAGTGTCCCAAGCTGGTATAGAAGTAGATAGAGCTAAGATATTTGTTATTGACAAACTTCCCCCTCCTTCTAACGTTAAAGGTATAAAGTTTTCTTGGTCATGCAGGTTTCTACAGACGCTTTATCAAAGACTTTTCCAAGATAGCAAAATCACTATGCAAGCTGTTGGTAAAAGATGAGGAATTCAACTTCACAGACGAATGTTTGGTAGCATTTAATATTTTAAAAGATCAATTGACCACTGCACCTATTATCACTGCACCTGATTTCACATTTCCTTTTGAATTAATGTGTGATGCTAGTGATTATGCCATAGGAGCTGTTTTAGAACAAAGAAAGAATAAATTGTTGCATGTGATTTATTATGATAGTAAAATTCTGAATGATGCACAAAAGAATTATGCAACCACTTAAAAAGAGTTACTAGCAGTTGTCTATGCATTTGATAAATTTAGACCGTATTTGTTGGGGTCTAAAGTAATTGTTTACATTGATCATGCTACTTTAAAGTATTTGTTGAATAACCAGGATGCAAAGCCACGACTACTGAGGTGGATGCTGCTCCTTCAAGAGTTTGAAATGGAGATCAGAGACAAGAAAGGTGTAGAAAACGTGGTAGATGATCACCTCTCCAGAATTCAAGAAAAAGATCTTCAAGACGGACCTGAGCTGAAGATCAAAGAGGAGTTTCCGGATGAGCAAATCATGGCTATCAATGTCATCTCAGATCCGCAACCGAAGGAAGTAAAGACCACAAGTACACCTCCTTGGTTTGCAGAATTTGCAAACTTCAAAGCAACAGGAGAAATTCCAGTAGACTTCACATGGAAACAAAGAAAGAAGTTCTTACATGACGTCAAGAAATACTTATGGGATGAGACCTTCCTTTTCTACAAATGTGCTGACGGCGTAATAAGGCGCTGTATTCCAGAAGAAGAGATGAAGGACGTCCTGTGGCACTGTCATGGTTCCAGCTATGGTGGACACTTCGCAGGAGAAAGAAAGGCTGCAAAGGTGCTGATGAGTGGTTTCTATTGGCCAACACTTGACAAAGATGCAAGGAAGTTCGTTGAATCATGTGATAGATGTAAGCGAACGGGGAACATCTCCAAAAGACATGAAATGCCCCTTAACAACATATTGGAGGTTGAGATCTTTGATGTGTGGGGAATAGACTTCATGGGACTCTTTTCCCCTTCCTATGGCAACAAATAAATCCTGGTGGCAGTTGATTACGTCTCCAAGTGGGTTGAGGCAGTTGCCCTTCCTACTGATGATGCTCGGGTGGTTATAGCATTCCTGAAAAGAAACATATTCGTTCGATATGGAGTACCGCGAGCAATCATAAGTGACGGAGGAACTCACTTTGACAACAGACAAGTGGAGTACGTACTGGCTAAATGCGGCATGAAGCATAAGATTGCAACACCATACCATCCACAAACAAGTGACCAAGTGGAGATTTCCAACCGAGAGCTGAAACGTATCTTGGAGAAAATAGTGGGAAGCTCCAGAAAAGATTGGTCCAAGAAGCTTGATGATGCACTGTGGGCATACCGGACTGCCTTCAAGACACCAATAGGTATGTCCCTCTTCCAATTACTGTTCGAGAAAACTTGTCACTTACCAGTAGAATTGGAGCACAAAACACTGTGGGCAATCAAGTACCTGAACTTCGATTCTAAGACAGTAGTTGAGAAAAGATTGCTTCAAGTGGATGAGCTCAACGAGTTCAGACTATCTGCGTACAAGAGTGCAAGCCTGTACAAAGAAAAGACGAAGAAGTGGCATGACAAAAAGATCCTACCTCGAGACTTCAAAGTGGGGAATCAGGTATTACTCTTTAACTCTCGTCTTCGTCTTTTCCCTGGAAAACTTAAGTCCCGATGGTCGGGACCATTCATCGTAAGGAACATGAAATCATATGGAGCAATGGAGATTAGTCCGCTGGACTTCGATAGAAGCTTCACGATGAATGGCCAACGACTGAAACTATACATGGGAGGAGAAATAGACAGGGGAACAACCACTGTTGCCCTTGTCGAGGTAATTTGAGCGAGGTACGTCAGGCTCGTGACGTTAAACAAGCGCTAACGGGTAGGCAAACCTATGATTTACTGCTTTATTTTAAAATTTTAGTTTAGTTTATTTTGATTTCAAGAAAAGCACCTGAACCTGGTTATGATGAACACAGGTTCAAGTCCCCAGCCCATGCTACCCGATACAATGAATACATCAAGAAGAAGTCCTTTGTCCGAGAAAGGATCTTCTACCTAAAGCAAGGGCAACACCCTGATTTCTACAACATCATGGTGGCCCAAGGATGGAGAACATTCGGGAGACTTCCCGCACCTGCTCATGAGGAGTTAGTCCGAGAGTTTTATGAAAATGCTCACACTGTTGAGCAAGGAACCAACATGGAATATTTGAGTTATGTAAGAGGGAAAGTCGTGAGATATAATGCTACTGCCATTCAAGAAATTCTACAAACAGCTCACCATGACAGAACTACACAGAGGACTTGTAGGTTTCAAACAAAACTTGCAACCATTGAATATGAGAGAAATGATCCTTTTGGTGTAGCTGAGCCAATACTTCAGGGTCTCACACTTCCTGGAGAAAAGTGGGACCCCACCAAAGATAGAAGCCAACCAAAAAGGATTTGGCTGAAACAGCTGAATAATGTGGCTAAGGTATGACACCACTTCATTAATAGCAACATCATGCCCAGTTCAAATCAAACTGAGATAGTAGTGAAGAGAGTTGTCCTCATTTATACTTTGATGATGCGACTGAGGGTAGATTTGCCTAGGGTACTGGCTGATAGTATCTATGAGCTGGCTCATAAAAAGGACAAGACAGCAACCATTGGCCATGCCTCTCTGATTCAGAGTTTATGTGCAGCAGCAGGAGTGGAGATCCCTACTGAAGGGGATACCATCCCATTGAAGCCCGAGATAGATCCTAAGTACATTTCTACCTACATTAGAGGCTCCTCTGTTCCTGACGATGATGACCCAGTGTCACCACCGGAGACTCGCGGCAGACCGCGACGCACACCCAGACCATCTGCTCCAGCTGAGAGACCACCAGTTTCGACTACTGACAGTCGAATGGATGATATGGAGATACATATGGGATTTATCAGGCGGCGGCTGAGGCATATGGATCACAGGGAGTAGGAGTATCAGATCTACATGACTACACATCACCACCCTGCTCGACCAGATGGACCTCCACCTTTCCAGCCCACACCTTATGATGGTTCAGATGAGGAGGCCACTTTTGATGCTGCTCGGCGGAGCACTTCTACATCTCAGGCCACCACTTCACATGCTGCCGACGATGAGGACACCGAGATGATCCCGACCATTGTCCGAGATGCTGAGGAGGATGACAGAGACGATTGAGACGTCCCCTTTCCCATTCTCCCTTTTACTTTCTTTTGATGATTTGAGATTAGCATTTTTGGTTGATATGCTAACCTTGTGACATGTTTTCATACTATCGCTTTTATTACTGATGAGGTAGATTGTTTCATGCTGTTTCAGAATAAGCGACTAGTTATGCTTAGCTTGCACAAGAATTATTTTTAGATTTAAATATGTTGCTGAGGACAGCAAAATTTAAATCTGGGAATGGAGAATGTGCGTTCCATCTAAGCACATTGGATTGAGACCGGAGGAATTTTCATGAGTATACACAGAATCTCCGGTCAAGACGGGGAAATATCTCAAATCCTTTTTCATACAATTTTTAATTCTTGTTTTTATGTTTTTCATGCAATTTTTAAATTTTGTTTTACATGTTTTAGTTAGATAATCTTAATTGTTTTGTTGAAAAACCCCAAGCAAAATTTTTTTGTGAAGATTCTTACAAATTTTTCAAAGTTTCTCAATGTTTTAATTGGAAAAATGGCGGGAAGTTTAAATTAGTAATTGATTCAAAGCATGATGATGCACTTATACATATTCACTTTTATGAACATCATTGCAATAAGTGACATGATTCATTGAAAATATTG